ATGCATTGGGTATAAATAGCTGACAAACTCCTCCTTCTCAAAAGCCAAACATATATCTTGAAGATAAAATTCTACCCAAGTAGAGACTTCATCATAAGCACAAACTTCTTAACCTTTCGAAGTTATATTTACTTCAAGTGAAAAACACCAACTAAGCTCTTCCTTTAGCGAAGTTATTGTTTCTTATTTTAGCAAGTCTTTCTTTTCTTGCTTTCTGTATCTTGTGTGTTTCTTAGATTGGTTTAGATAAGTTATATATCTTATTTTATTCCGCAAATAGTCTGTAAATTCCGTTATAATCTTCTTTATCAATAAAAGATTTTAAAAAGTTAAAACTTTTGTGTGTTTGTATTCATCCCCCTCCCCCTTTTACAAACTATTACCTTTAAACTCTTGTAGATCTGTTTGGGACCAACAATTTCTGCATCGATGAAGTTCTGCTGAAACCCTCTACATAACAATCTTATTCCATTATATAATCCGTTCAAGGGGTCAATATATCGTGGTAATTTTATCGGACATCCAATTTTGAGCCGAATATAATGATGAGGCAAACCACTAACAGTTAGTGAGTTTAAGAATTCGATCGGATAAAAGTTCTTATTGTCTTATGCTTTGTCGAAACTATAGTTGATTTTTCATCTCCACAAAATCTATCGATCAACTGATCATTAATCTCATCGATATTGTCATATCTTGTTGATAATATCGCCATGGAAATGGTATAATCTAATGCAACTCTGTTGATTTAAAGAGATGAAAATATTAGGGGTGTAAACAAGCCAAGCCGAGTAGTAGGTTAATTGAGTCGGGCTCAAAAAATTAATACTAGGACCGAGCTCGAGCCCGACTCGAGCTCTATTAACTTTTCAATTTAGGGCTTGAGCTCGAGCTCGAATATTTTTTGAGTTATCGAGCTCGATGCTCATTTATGGTTTCAAACTCATGATCGATTAACTCATTTATCGGCTTGAGCTCGATAATTTTTATATTTTTATTGTATGATTAATAAATATATGAGCATGTTTGGCTCGAAAAAAGGTATGCTCGAGTGGCTCGGCTAGACTCAAAAAATTGAATCAAGTTTTCGAACAAGCCGAGTCGAACATTAGTGTTAAAAAGCTCGGCTTGTTAAGTTACGAGTTCTATTTTGTGTTTGAGATCAACTTTGGCTCGAGATTATTAAGCTTGAGCTCGAGATAAACGAGCTCGAGTAGCTCGTTAAAAGCTCGACCAAAGAGGTGACATCCTAATTACATCAACCAAAGCATCCAATTTACCTTTATCGTTGTAGTGAATAGCCATGTCTCGTCAGCTATACAAATAAAAGTATCATTATTTGTTTCTTCATCTCCATCACCAAACATGTAAAAAGAATTCTGAAAAACATGGATTAGTCAATGCTCTCATGTCGATAATTAATCATATTTGCTTAATCGAAGACCAAAGAGGTGGCATCCGTAGGCTGAAGTCTATAATTTGTGCTCGCGTGCCATGTCGCACAGTCGACAACATCTGTCCAAAATAGCCTCCCATACCATTATCTTTCCACGAAATGAGAGCATGTTCCCGATGATGTCTCGCCTCGTGCAATCAAGTGCCTCCATTGCCTATCTCTTAGCCATCGAGGCTTCGTTCCAAATGATTAGTCTTTCATTGCAAAGCAGTTTAGTAACTCCACTCTATTATTTTATGCTTCATACTGAATTATTATCCAGATTGAGAGGAATCTTGAAACAAAAGTGAGCAATTCTCCCCCTGCATGTTATTATCTACAACGCCCGACAAAGTGATCATGAGTGAAACAAGACCATGGGCATGAACCTCAACAAGTAAAACTTTGTACATAAACATTTTTGTAGTTCCATTAGGACCATCTACGAAGAACATACTTGAACACTCATTCTCAACATGCCTCATGACCTCACAACTATAGAGTACTCTTCTTGCACCTCACATAAACCTCCATCTTGTAAATTGAAATCAGTTTTTACCCTTAAAAGATCAAAATCATTCAGATTTGTACTCATCGATTCTAGAAAGACCATGATGTCCATGAGCACCATATCATGGACTCGTTGAACATTGTGAGATTGCCACATGTAATCTTTAGAAAATGAATTATAGCTATCATCCAATAACTTGGGAACATCTCCCATGTCATAAGAAATCAAGATCGTCACACATAGTCTTCTAAGAGCATTAGGAAACTGACAATAAATCAAGATCATCGTTTTCAATAGTCCTCTCTAGAGTTGTTTTTCGAAATGCATGATGTATTAAGCCATTGCAGAGATCTTTAAATGATGTAGGCCTACTAAAATAAGGTAAAAGTAGTCCTAAGTAATATCGTTCTCTTTTAATGAGATTAGCAAAAATATCTGCCCTCTTATTGCACATTTTCTTCCATTAATGTGAGCTTGAGTTCCATGTGTAGTGTTTTGGGAAATCTTTATATAAATGGATTCTTACGCAATTGTCATCTCTATTTCTTTAGAAAAAATGAATCCAATGTTGTCTTCCTTTTCTCTCGCCCTATCAACAATATTTGTCAAGATACCGTTGTCCCTGAACTTTACCAACTGGTTATTTGGAAGATGTATTTCCAAAGCCATCACATGAGGGTAGATTTCAGAGAGAGTGAAGCCAAAAATTCGCCATATTGCTTTAGGGGGAGACATAACGTGCATCTCAAAATCTTCTTATCTTATTAGTTACACCATGTTCTCCTTTTGGATCGATATTGACAACTTGTTTGGTCAAGATCCTTGTATACATATTTGAGGACATATTTCACATATGCGACTTAAGCAAGCCTCAATATTGATGAGATAGCTTAACATCATTAGCAATTTTGGGTTATATGGGACTACCCATTGATTATCAAGGGTGTTTCCTCGTATGTGTACCTGAATATTATTATTTCTTCTATGATACATTAGGTATGACTCATTTGAGTATGTCACATTGTCCTTGAAATGCATAGGATATCTGACATGACATTTTTTGGTTCACCCTATATACAAGGACTAGACAGCCCTAAATGACCGCAAGGACCGTACATCATATGCTTGATGACCAACTGGTGCATCTAAAGATGTTTTCTCGGGCCTGGAATTTCAGCTCATAAGATTTGTCATAATGATCTGGGTTGGTTATCTAAAAGTGTCATTATCATAAAGAAATGTGCATGTGGAAAACCACATTTTTTGAAACTCCAGCACATAAACATATGACCTTACCACGCCAAGGATGTGTTTCTTGAAGAGTTGTTCCTTAAGATCTTCTAACTTGGCATGGAACACTCTGGAAACAAGGTCTATCAGTTCTTGTGCACTCTAACCATGCAATAGCTCAATAAGGATTTCAGGTCACTTTGGATTGCATGTCGTTGTTAGGAAAATATACGGCTTTCCGTCATCTTGAGACGAAGTCATGGCATCCAGAAACTATTGTCGCATATCACATGGGCTTCAGATGAAATATGTAGGCAAGACAACTCGTTGCCAAACTTTATTTGGTTGAACCTCATCGGCATTGACGCGATCCATAATACCTTGATATATATATTCGCTCTTATTTTGGTTTGGTTTTGTTCACAAAATTCCACACAACACATATAGAAGACATACTAATATAGAGTTTGTGTGCGATGAAGGAGATGGAAAACAAACTATGATTATCATCTGAAATAGAGTCTATGCACCTGATGTGTTTCGATGGAGATGGTTGAGATGTGTTTGGATGCTTCTAAACATGGATATAGGTTTCGACTCTTGATCCATCTCAAAATGTTCTTGAGGTTGATGGAGATGGGTTTCGATCCCTAGTGTATGTTTTGATACCTAATGTGTGTTTTGATCTCTGGTGTGTATTTCGATCTTGGTGTATGGATTTCGATCAATGGTTGTGTGGGTTTCGACCATTGTATGTATTTTTCGATCCCTTCCCAAAAGACGAAAAGGAGCAAAGTAGATATCGGACCGGTGAGCAAAAGTAGGTTTCAAACCAAAGAGATGTTGCCAAAGTTAGTAATTGAACAAATTTAAAAAAACCAACTCATCAAGTTTTCCGAAATCTGGTGGCAACTCTCCATGAAAATGATTAAAGCTAAAATCCGTAGGTACCTCCAAGTTCTTGATTAAAGGGATGTGTGTAAACATGGGATGGATCAAAGATAGTTGCTGGAGATAAGTTTGACTATGGCCATCGTTGTAGAAACGAATGCAATTTTCATGGGTAATGTGTATTAATACCATCTTTTTCAATCTTTTAAAGGAAAAGTAAAGAAAATACAAAGATGGGCATAATACCTTTGATTTAACGAATTCTTTAACGGTGTTAGTGGGTAAGGACAAAAACCAAGCCAGGAGTGAGAAAAAGTGGCTTTTTGGAATAATCCTACCTAGTGACGTTTCTCTTTTGGTTTTGAACTCGTAGATATGTTAACCTTTTGGATATACATATGTAATGTATATATATACTAAGCATGCTCTGTATGTTTTGCATCTTTTTTCTACAGATGAGGTTCTTTTGAATTTATGTATATATATATGGGTGTGTGATGGAACCTGTCCTAGATCACACGGGACGGGGGTCATTATAGTTATGGTATCAAAACATTTTTGCATACCACAAAGTTTTTTTTTGTAATAAATTTTTAAAGGGACTAAAATCAAGAAAAATAACAAACCATAAGGACTAAAATTGCAATTTACTCTACTATATGTTTATGTAATGTAAAATATATTTCTAATAAACCTAAATGAGTAAAGGAAAGAAGGGGAAAGAACCAAATAAAAATGCCAGTGGAAAATTGACAGCTCTTAAGTGATAGAGATCAAAATATTATGAAAATACAAACATTGTAGGAAATTTTGGAATGAAAAACTGACCAAATCCAAATTAAAACCATAGGGATCAAATTTGTAATTTGCTCTAATTGTTATTAGAAACAGCATGGAACCTACTTTCAAGAGACAGCAAGTAAAACACGTTATTTCCTGCAAAATCCCCAGGTTCCCCCTTTCCAGGCCTCTCTCTTGCATGCTCAAACCGATTACGTCCTCGCTTAAGGACTGCATTAACCTTAGATACATATTAATCGAGGAAGAACAGAGAACTATAGGACGATCGGATCTTTGATTGGAAGAGGAGGAGAAAGATGGGCTTAAAACGCCTTCTTGTTGAGGTCTATCTTTAATCATCCAGTTTCATCTCAATAATCGTTATTCTTTTTGTTTGTTTAAATCATGCAAGTTATATATACATAGAATTATGGGTTTATGTTCAATTTGCTATTAATCAAGTTATGTTGGAAATATACGGAAACCCCAATCTTATTTAGCTTCTAGGGTTTTTGCAGAACTCCCCTGTAGTTTGGTTAGCACCTAGAGTTTGATGCATTTTCTTGGGAATTTGGTAGCATATGGTGCAGGTCCGTTCCTGCCATTTTATACCCCGGACGAGATGTAAAAAACTCCCTCGATATGTACGGAAAAAGATCTTCAATATATTGTTTTTATCATCAGAAATAATATTGAATTCAAGGAATACTAGTAATTCATATGAAACCATTTTTTCTGAGGATTCCTAGACGCAAAATCAATTAATAATTATTTCTAAATTAATATTATCTACCATATCATTTTTACATAGCATTATCAATGTGTTTCACCGTTAACAACATCCTATGATGTACCTTTAATAAATAGATTGACATTATGTGGGGTCACAATGTTGACTCTTCAAAATAACACTCTCTGTAAATCAATATAAATTAGTTAGACTTCTATCTCACAAACTATAACCAAGATGGGCTTTCTTGGTTATTAGGTAATAAGGAGTCAATATGTATGAAAAAACATAGATAATTTTGAAATCTACATATTGATATAAGTTGGACGTCTCATATGGTTAGCAAATTTATTTCAAAATGTAGGAGCTTTCTTAGATAATAACAAGAAATCTACTATACTCTAATACAAAAATAGAATTCATGCGGAAGTAATAATCAAAAGAGTCGGTGGGAGATGGATGATATAGAATATATCAAGGTTTTCTAGGCAAGTTGTTTTAGTCTTTGATACTAGATAAAAAAAACTTTGAGAAACAATAAACATTATTATAAAGGTTGTTTTTGGTACATGGGACGGGACAAGACAGGACTGTACAAAACTCACTGTCTCACGTTTGGCGCAACATGGGACAGAACAAGAACTCACTGTCCCACGTTTGGCGTGACATGGGACAGGGACAAGAACTGGGACAAGGTTGTCTAGTTTTGTCCCGTCCAGTTCTAGTTGTACCAACCACCAGACATACTCTTGTTTTGTCTAGTCCTACCCTCTTGTCCTGTCCAATCATGTATGCGTACCAAACACTACCAAAATGAACAACCAATTAACTTTTTACATATTTTCTTCTCCAATTTAATTAATTAATACATATATGGGACTTAATGTAATACTAAATTATTTTTGAGTCCTATTAGATACTAAAAGAATTTCTCTCTTTTATTTACTATTTTTTTTGAACCACTTACTATATAGTATATACTAAAATATATTGGGCCCCTATTTCTTGTGGTCCCTGGGCGTGCGCCCGACCCGCTCTTCTCCAGGGTCGGCCCTGATATGGTGATTTATGCATGCTTTTGAAGCTGAGGTTATTGAATATTGGCAAGAAAGGAAATGCTTTTAGTGAGATGTAGTGAGGTAGTGATGCTGGATTTTTTTATGTGGTGTTAAATGGAAATAGCCAGCCAGGGGAATGCAATGGAACTTGATGACACTTTTGATGATACCATAGCAGATTGGAAGCACTAAGAGAGAGAGAGAGAAATAGGCTAAACTTTGGGCATGGTAGTACCCTTATAGTGGCTTGCAGAGCTCTTGGGGATGTGACTGTTGTATTAATCATCAGGTTATTTGATGTTATCTGTAAGACAATGTCTTAAGGAGGCCTAATTGATGGAGCAAGATACCGTGTCTAAATCAATGTGAACAAAAAGAATGTTCAAAGTTGTACAGGCTATCACAAACCATGCTTATGATTCGTAGGGTGAAAGTATGAGAGTGTGTTATTAGTTATGGGTTAAGGGTTGATACAAGGTTGTCTTACAATCAATTTGGTTTTATGTTGGTGAGATCAACAAACAACATACGATTTTATTTAGACGACTCATGGAATGGAATGATTTGTATGTGGTGTTCCTAAATCTAGAGAAGGCAGTCAAGGCATATGATGGGGTGCTAAGGGATGCGATATGGTGGGTCATTATGAAGAAGAAATACTTACAATGTGTTTGAATGGAATAGATGTTAAAACCACAAACTATTCTTAAGCAGAACTATCCAAAAATATTAAACAAATATATGAGGACAAAACGGGCTGCAAACATGCAATCACTATTAGGAAGAAAATCGTAAGTAAGAAGCACATCATGCTAGGATCGTATGATAAATACCTGCTTAAAAGTCTTCAGAAGACTTCAGTTTTCCTAACTCCTAACAATCCGATTTTAACCTTTTTCTTAAGTTAACTTTTATTTCAACTTTTTTAGTATTTTACAGTGCACCCCCTTCCAAAAATCTCCGATGCACTCTTTTTGGTTGAAATTCATGTTCTATATGCAGGCTTAAAGCCCTAAACAATGCACTGTCGTTGCTCCTTTGGTTTAAATTTCGAAAAATGCTCCAAGCCTACCTTATCTATGTTCCTACAGTTGGCTTGCTATATGGATGGGTTTCTACTTTAATTGTGTTTGAGCCCTTAGACCTTGGTATTTCAAAACAATCAAGGCAAACGAGCTGCTGCTTTGGTTACATGGTTATGCAATACGTGGAGTGCGATGGTCTTCTTTAATATTCCGCTGGCCACATTTGGTTTCAACTTATTAAAGGTAAACAGGAAAATACATGTACATTTGGGATCAATGAAATATTGAAATACACTGTACTTCTAAAATAACATGTCAAAGGAACATACCTCAACTTTTCTCTGGCCAGTAGACTATTATTTGTATATTTTTGAAAATGATAGACTTGTAGAGTAGGGATTTTCATTGAAGTAAAGCAAATAGAAATCATTATTATGCTACATGACAATGATGATTACTACATCTACTATGCCGACCTTTATATTCCTCATGTTAAGGAAAAACAAATACAGCTTTGCCAATATTTTCCATGTTTTAATCACTTGAATCTTTCAACTTCTTAAGATCAAACCGGAACTTCAAAATTGATAAAAGAAGATTTCTAAGGGATTCTTAGGGCTACTGTTTGGTTTATAAAGGAAATGTGTTTGTTACTCTCTGGGAGGCGGTCTGATGTTGAGAAAAATGCATGTCTATGTATGGAAGGACGGGGTTGATGGTTATGTCATTGAAGCATAACAATCTACTAATGTTAGATTGGTGGTGGAGGTATAATACAGATAAACCGTCTATATAGAGCAAACTTAACAGGCTGAAGTATGGCTAGCAGGAACATGACATTAGAGCGCAAGAAATAAATATCAAGTCTATACGCATTCATGAGCTGACTATAGATGGTAAATGTCACAAGAGAGCCATGCATGAATGAGATTGTAGGAGAAGAAGCATGGTTTAAGAAGGCTGTAGATGAGGTTAATATCAGATTATGGGAATAGATGTGGATAGGTGATATTTTTATGGAGGAGGTATATGATTTAGTTTGAGATATCTCTATTCCAAAAAAGAGTAAGCAGAGTGTTATGGTGTAGATGAACATCGACCAAGAGTTTGGCAAATCATATTCGGAAAACTTGTTGAATGTGGAATGTGGAAGGCATATGTTATTCTTTAAAGGGCTGAACATATTGTATTACTAGACCACATGGAATACAATTTAAGGTGGTGTTTGGTTTGAGAGAATAGGAATGAACGAATGAGAATGATGGTAATAGATTGTGTTTGGACTTTGGATCCTACAATATGTTTGCTATTTGCAAAGTATATGAACTTATTCTGTGTGCATTACTGCTTTTTTTGGCTTAATCCAAAATTTGTGCTATCTCTTTGGCAACGTATTAATCACGTTATTATTTGTTTACATAGGTCTCAAAACAGCGACAGCAACTGGGGTTTGCAAAATTCTCATTTACAAGTTCTTATTTTACTTCACAGAAATTCGGATTTCATGCAGGTATACAAGTGTTGAACTTATAACAATTGTTTATGTTAAATTTCATATTTTTAGTTTGTTAAAAATAAAAGCTATCATCTCCTTTGGTTTTTGTTCCTATCTAGAAGTCTTTTAAATATGCATGTGCTCTCTAGAGGATAAAAAGTATCGTATTCTAATGAAAAAGATGGTACCAGCAATGGTGCATTCAATGAAGCTTCCAATCTGGTTTTATAATATAATATTATTTTCTCTCTTAACGATTTCCCACCATCCACATTTTCGCAGCCAGTTTCACTAGTGTCATCAATTGTAATACTGCGTTTCTAGTTAGGACATATGTAATCTTCAGTTTGGTAATTTCCTTGGCGCACAACCTTCAAATGAACCCACATTCATGCATTTCATACACTCAAACCACTTCAGCATGTAATGACGTCTAATTCTAAATGCTAAACCTATTCTATTACAAAAATAGATTCTCCAAAACCTTTCTCCAAAATGGAGAAAGTAGGAGAGAGAGTGTAAGAGCAACTCCAACAACTATGCTAAAATAGAGATTTTGGAGATTTAGAGTATGTTTTTGCTCCAACGGCTTTGCTATAACATATGCTACAATAGAGAAAAGAAGAGAGAGATGATAGAAATCTCCAAATTTGAAGAAATCTCTAAAACTCCAAAATATTATTTTAATTCTTTCATATCAATAGGTTACATTGGAATTAAGTGTTTAGGGAGAGAAATAATATTCTATTAAATGTATTGAATATTTTAATATTATAGTTAATGATAGAATTGCTAAAATAGAATAGCTGTTGGAGTTGTATGTAATTCTTTTTAGAGATTTTAACTTTTGGTACTCTATTTTAGAAAAATTATAGCATAGCTGTTGGAGATGCTCTAAAAATCTCCAAATTTAGAGAACACCCAAAAAATAATTACAATGAGAGAGATATTATTTAATATATTTCCACCAATAGGAAACTTTGAAAACAACTATTTAGATGGATGAATAATATTTTATTAGATGAAAATAATATTTTAATAATATAATCAATGCTGTAATCTCCAAAATGGAGAATCTGTTGGAGTTGAATGTATGTTTGTTTTAGGGATTTTGAAGTTCCATTCTCCATTTTTGAAGAAATTTTGGCGAATCTACTGGAGATGCTCTAAAGCCGCAAGTTAATGATATTTCAACATTTTAATTTCATATAAGAAGAAAAGTCTTACATTGATATCATATATAGAGAGCTTACAAAAAGTGTTACATCAAAGGTTTATAACAATGTAAAAAGTAAAAACAAGGCAAACTTTTAAGAACAAAAATAAAAAATTCAATTAACGTATTAAAAAGAACTCACACTGTAAGGCGCCATTGCGTGCCTCAAAACCTTACACAGTCATCATAGGGGTTAACATGGCGTCAGACGCACCGGCTGCCATGGCGCACCATGCCGGCTGCCATGGCACACCTTTTAGAACCATGCTGTTATCCAATAAGAGTTCTTCTTAAAAAGCGTTGGGTCTGGTGAAATAGATCTTCAGAACCGACATGATGGAATTTGAACGTCAGGTTTTCTCGCCCCTCCCTGTTAACTTTCCCTGGACACTGGTAATCTTATCTATGTTGATGGTTTGGATAAGATCCGTTTGCTTCTCTGAAAAACAGATGTTGGGGCCATATTATGTTAGCATCAACATTAGGTTTTGCGTTCTGAATAGTTCAGAACAACCCCATTTTCCTTCATTGCATTTGCATGCCAAAATGCATAGTTTGAATAAAAATAAGTAATTGATATTCGTTTATGAATTATGACAAAGACAGCAGTTTATTGGCTCAGTTCTTTCCTTTGACAATTATGTATCTGCAGCATACAAGCTTCCCGGTGCTCAGAGAAGGTTCCAGTCCAGTTATGTGGGAAGTTTCGCACGAAGATTGCGTGAACGTGATGCAGATGGATTAAACAACACAGGTTATCTTAGGGAGCTTTATAGTCGAAATGATCCAGAGGCCGTCATAAGACTTTTTGAAAGTCAGCCTTCGTTGCACTCTAATCCATCAGCACTTAAAGAGTATGTGAAGGCCCTGGTCAAAGTTGATAGATTAGATGAAAGTGAGCTGCTCAAGACATTGCAAAGAGGTGAGTCAAATTTACTAACATGGGCATGGTTACCTTTCATTTATAAGCTCAATGTCCCTTAACTGGTTTATAAGTTGAACTTCCAATATACCCTTTTGAACTTATGTTTTATGTTAAGTAGTCATATCTCCAAGTTTTCCCTGAACGGCTTCTTTTTAGCTTTTACTGATCTATTTGTTTGTTTTATAGAATCTTTATGTGAGCCTATTTTCAATTGTTGTTGATATTTTGCGTCTGGATGAATTGTTTATTATGAGGTAGACCTTGCATAGATAGAGTACATAAAGTGGGCTTGTTGGTTGAGAATAACACATGCAGGAAATGCTTATTAGCAAGTCATGTTAAACCAAACAATATAAAGTATCATTCCTCCTCAAGTTGGAGCATGTATATTTAGCAAAACTTTGTATAGAAGCAATTTAAGTCATAGGTGCAAGTTTCACAACAATATCAACTAGTTGATAGTGGATACTCTAAGCAATTATAAACATGAAAGGCTTTGTTCGTGTTCGTTTGTTTAACTCTAACCGAACAAACGAATAAACACAAAGGCATCACGTATAAACAAAAAATGTTTTTGTTCATGTTTGTTCGCGTTCATTTATTAATATGTGCTAAATAAACAAAAACGAACATAAAATACCATCTATCATGAGATCATTGGTGAAATTGCAAATAACATATTAACTAACTAAAGAATGCCAAGTAACAACTAAATTATGCCATTTTACCTTAAGATCAGCATATATTAAAGAATAATTAAATAAACCAGTGATAGATGTTGAATCTACGGTAAAATGAGGTAATTTTAAGTTGTTACTTCCCATTCTTTAGTTAGTTAATACATTGTTTGCTAATGATCTATATACTTAAGTGAACAAACGTTCACGAACGTAAATGAATGAACAAGACCACTGTTCTTTTTCGTTTGTTTAACTAAATGAACCAAAAATCTTGTTCTTGTTCGTTCAGTTATTAAATAAACACACAAAAACGAACTTCTGGTCGAACAGTTCATGAACGATTCACTGAATGTTTGACACTGAACGTTTGGTTCACTTATAGCCCTATGTAGTAGTTCTCACGACTTATCTATCAGATGACAATCAACTTCTAAGTTTGGTAGGTTTGAGGAAAACAAATTCATCAATTCATCCACAAGGATCTCTAGTTTTCATAGGAATCATGAAGTCTGTGTTTCACATCTGATTTTGCACTACAGCGAAAGCTTCTCCAACACAAGGTTGGCACCAGTAAAAGCATAATGATCGATGGTGGACCCTTGTGCAATTGGACATTCTAGTCTGCATTATGCCATTATCCAACAATGTATTTGGTTTCCACCACGTGTCTTTGATGCCTCAAGACACTAGTATTTTTAAATATTCAAGTATCCAAAAAACTGTTTTGCATATGCAGCTTTTCGAGTCAGCAATACCCTGTTGTAACAACAATACCGTCCATGGTAATCTTTTTGTCTGCCAATGCATGTAGGCGAACAAATAATAATTGTTGCTGTAGGACACGCCATGCAGAGGATAGGTCTGCATGCATCCCACCCCCTACCCCTCCTCTGGGTGGGATATACTCGGCCCGTTTGGTTTGGTTCAAGTTCATGTGCCTAAGAATGTCCTTTAACTACCAAATGAACTCTTAGGAAGATACTGAAGTGTATCCGTTTCCTTCCACATGGCTTTTTAGTAGTGTGGGACTCTGGATTGAAGTGCATATGTTACAGTTTTTGGAAACAATGCAATGTATGCCACCTTTTATGTACCACCATTATGAGTAGTTATGCAGCCTAGGTTGCATTATCTTCTGCATATAAGAGAAAATAAACATTTAACTCGTTACATGTAGATTGCATTGACCTGTGCGGAAACATGGATGGGGGAGAAATTGAGATACTACAAAGATTATGAGAAAATAAACATCTAACTCACAAAAACTGACATCTAGTGAGATGAAGTACCACTTTAGGACATGATTGTAGCATCTATTATCTTTTTGGATGTGAGAGTAACCAACAAAGGCATACTTAATGGGATGAAACTAAGTTTAGAACTGGATGTCCATAAGTCATGGACAGAACACCCACGTAAATATGGATGCCAATTTAAATAGAATAAAATGATTGTGTTTTGGGGTAATTTGTTTGGCAATTTTGAATATATTGCTCTTATTTTTGGTTAGAAACTTTTTATTTTGGGGAGGTTTTTTAAATTAAAAGTTGAAGTTGTAACCACCCTTCCAATCACATCCTTTCTATCAGTTAATCTAAGGTTTGTTGAGGGGTTCCCTGTTCTCCATTTTTTAAGGTTCTCCTCGAATCTCCCTCCCCCTCCCCCTCTCCCTATATATATATATATATATATATGTGTGTGTGTGTATGGTGTTAGCTCTGCACTAGCTTCTTGCTGTATGTTGGTTGAGGCTTTGGCTACAGGGAAAACACATTGTCATTATTATTGAATTATTATGGAGGTACCAACTACCAATTGTGTTTAATCCTTCGCAACTCATCTCTGGTGGAAATTAAGTTGGGAATTGAAAAACACATGTAAAGATACAAACATTTCATACAAGTGCATGAGTTGCTTTCACTTCAATGCCCAATGGGTCCTGGCCCACTTCTACAAATCATCAACCCTATTTTTCACCCCCCCCACTTCATTCCATCACCTCTGCCCCCCTGCCCCCCTTTCATTATGTCAAATAAAAATATCTATATTCGATTTTAATAAAAAGATTAAATATTATAAAAACAGATACTTAATTTCAAGCATGGAAGTTACTCAGGTGAACTTCAATTTGAGTTCCCATTTCAGCTTTTAGTTCTCATATCCCTAGACTAACATTTGTTGCTTGTCAAAATTTGAATTATAGGAATGGCAAGCTCTGGTACCTCAACATTCGATGAAGACAGTATTGGTGGCCTCTCAGTTTTGAAGAATGTGGGGAAATCAACAAAAGAGGGTGTATTAGGAACTGCTGCTGCTCCTATACATATGGTGGCTACTGAAGGAGGACATTTCAAAGAGCAGTTATGGCGCACAGTTCGTGCTCTAGGCATGGCCTTTCTACTGATTTCTGGTGTTGGAGCCCTCATTGAGGATAGAGGAATCACTAAAGGTGTTACCATTGATACTACTATTATTTATCGAAACAACTGCTCTATTCTTTTGGGTAGAGGTCAGGTCTGCATAAATCCCGCCAACACCTCCCTCCAAATCCCACCTCCGGCTGGGTTATACTGGGCTCGTTTGGTTTGGTTTGGTTTGCTAATGGCCTGTGTGTTAGTGGTACTTGATATGTTGTTTCTCTGCAGGACTGGGTCTACATGATGAGGTGCAACCCAGTATGGAAACTAATACAAAATTTAGTGACGTGAAGGGTGTAGACGAGGCAAAAGCTGAGCTTGAAGAAATTGTTCATTATCTTCGGGACCCTAAGGTAGTAAATTCACTTCTAACTCTGTAGAGCTGTAATGAAACAACCTGTATGTGGTTAGAACAAAGACTTAGTTGAAAATCTTCGAGTATGTTATGAGCCATTTTCACCATCAACTTGGTTAGCTTTGCAAAATTGTTGGCTCCATTCACATTGCATGTGAATATAATTCATAGATTCATGTTTAACATCCTCGTGCAAATTAATGCCAACAACTCTAGGGGTGCTTGCCCATAGGTCGTAGCACAGTTGGTTCCGGGGTGGTATACTTGCACAATGGGAGTGGGGGTTACAATTTCCTTGGATTTGGGCTCCATGTGGCCATTGGGGTCTCATATATGTGTATATATAGATTCAGGATCATGTGAGAAATTTTAATTTTAATGAGAAGGTGAGAGAAAAGGTGAAGGTACCTTTATATTGTGTTAATGATAGTTATATTTTGTGAAGGCTGTAACCTTTAGAGAATGTGTATGTAAGGTTATGTTGTATTGTGTGAAGGTTTTTGCTTTCAGTTTCACACAATATAATGTTATATTCTCATATCCGAAGATAAGGTTACATATACTGTGTGAAGGTTGTCCTTTCTCACCTTCTCTCAAAAAAGGGTCTCTTATCTGAACCCAATCCTATATATGTGTGTGTGTGTGTGTGTTTGAAGAATCTGATTTAGCTTTCACTTGTTATAGCGATTCACCCGTCTTGGTGGGAAGCTTCCGAAAGGTGTTTTGCTTGTTGGTCCTCCAGGGACCGGAAAAACCATGTTAGCCAGGGCTATCGCGGGAGAAGCAGGGGTGCCATTCTTCTCATGTAGCGGTAGCGAGTTCGAAGAGATGTTTGTTGGTGTTGGGGCACGTAGGGTTAGAGATCTCTTCACTGCAGCAAAAAAGCGGTTGCCATGCATAATTTTCATAGATGAGATAGATGCCATTGGAGGAAGCCGTAACCCTAAGGACCAACAGTACATGAAGATGACTTTGAATCAGTTACTTGTTGAATTGGATGGCTTTAAACAAAATGAAGGCATTATTGTTATTGCTGCTACTAACTTCCCACAGTCATTGGATAAGGCACTCGTAAGACCTGGTCGATTTGATCGTCGTGTGGTTGTCCCAAATCCCGATGTTGAAGGCCGGAGGCAAATAATGGAATCTCACATGTCAAAGGTATTTTCTTTTTGTGACCATTTAATTCGCTACTAAAATAGATGGGAGTCAAGTGCTTGAGTTTTCATCAAGTATTTATTGCCCGCCTGCTTGCTTGTTTCTTTTAGGTTATGTTTGGCAAACTAGCTGAAAAGTTAGCTGTTGGCTTAGATCTCTAACATATCCTCTCTAATTTTTTCGAGTAAAAAAATTATTCTCTCTAAAAAAATTACGTTCAAACTCCAACAGATTCTCAATTTTGGAGGCTTCAACATTAATTATGTTATTAAAATATTCAATAGATTTAATATCCCAATACATTTTTAAATAAGTTTTATATGAAATTAAAATATATTCAACTTGATTGGCAGGAACAATATTAAAACAATTTTTCTTTACTAAGCATTAAATTTTGGTAAATTCTCCAAATTTGGAAATTTTTACCTTCTCCCTCATTTTTTTCTTAATTTTAGGGAGTTTTAGAGAATCCGTTGGAGCAAGAATTTCTTCCAAAACCTTCATTTTCTCCATTTTAGAGAATTTGTTGGAGATGCTCTTATAAGCTAGCTGTTACCTGTTACCTGTTACCTGATCAATTACTCACGTTTGGTGAAAACTTGCTGGTAAACGTAGATGACAATGTAAAATTACCTAAAAGGAGGGTTTATTTTATCATTTATGTAAAAAATAAGGGGCATAAATGGAAAAAAAGTAAAAGAAGCTACCTGAAGTAGCTTTTTAAAAAGCTAGCTTATAATTTAGTATATTGCTTTCTAAACTGGGCTTTTTCAATAAGCTAAGCTTAGCGTTACCAAATTGTGACCTTCGTTTTTGTTTTGCATGCCAATAGTCTTCACAGAAATATTCTCTTACTGAGTTAGTTTGGTTTTCTTAGTTATTCATGAAGTTAACTGATATTGTTCCTTGAATTGTATGAAACAGATTTTGAAGGCAGACGATGTGGATTTAATTGTCATTGCTAGGGGAACACCTGGATTCTCAGGTGCTGATCTTGCAAACTTGGTTAACGTTGCCGCTCTCAAGGCAGCAATGGATGGTGCCAAGGCGGTGAGCATGGCTGACCTAGAGTACGCCAAGGACAAGATCATGATGGGCAGTGAACGCAAATCAGCCGTCATATCGGACGACGTTCGTAAGCTGACAGCATACCATGAAGGCGGCCATGCCCTTGTTGCTATACATACTGATGGCGCCCATCCTGTACACAAAGCCACAATCGTTCCTCGAGGGATGGCTCTTGGTATGGTAGCCCAATTGCCCGATAAAGATGAAACGAGCGTATCCCGCAAAGAAATGCTTGCTCGGCTCGATGTTTGTATGGGTGGAAGGGTTGCCGAAGAACTTATTTTCGGTGAAAATGAAGTTACTTCAGGAGCATCCTCAGATCTCGAGCAAGCCACTCATCTTGCAAGAGCAATGGTCACGAAATACGGGATGAGCAAAGAGATCGGGGTCGTTGCTCACGATTACGACGATAATGGGAAGAGCATGAGTACCGAAACTCGGCTCCTAATTGAAAAGGAAGTTCGGGAATTGTTGGGAAAAGCTTACGATAATGCCAAGAACATTCTCGTTACTTATAGCAACGAGCACCACGTGCTCGCTAACGCGTTGCTCGAGCACGAAACACTGTCGGGAAAACAGATCAAAGAAATGCTTGCTCAATTGAAGTCACAGCCACAGCAACAACAGCATCTGGCGGCAGCAGCAGTTGCTGCCGCCACTGCTGCCGCCAATGCTGCATCTGCTGCAGCCAAGGCGAAAGGTATTGCTCCGGTGGGATCTTAGCATTCGATATTGGCAATACACTTTCTCGACCCATTGTGCATATTAAGTACTAGTGCCTTTATGCCGATTCGAAAAATGCATATTCTTCATGGCTGCCACGGTGGTTCGATTATTGTGCCATGGTGATTTTGGACATAAAGGGAAGTCATAGAAGGTGAAATTTAACAGGAAAATGTCAAAATGTAGGATTTATATGAGATGGGTATCTTTCCTGTTTTGATTTCTTAGATACATACATACATACAGTTGACAATAATGAGTTTTGCAATCTCATTCTTTAGAGCTATATAACTTATGCTGGAGTAACCTACGTTTTGGCCCCTATGGTTTGTCAAAAATTGCGACTACAAATCTGTGTACTTTTGAAATTATGATTGTCGTCCCTATGGTTTGCAATTCGTTACTGTTTTCGTCCTTAAGGCTTGTTTGTTTTTTCAAAATTACCTTTTAATATCTCTTAAGTCTGATTCATTCAGACGTTTGGGCATTAAGAGCGTTTGTTTTATTTATAAAAATAAGAGCTTAAAATCTCTAAATGTCCTCTGAAATTTTAAGTGATAAACGTATCCCTTAGTATCTCTTAATCGTAATCCGTCGTTTATCAGATGGTTTATATTTCGGGGGTTGAAAGAGGTTTGTTAGCAAAAACTATTTATCTTTTATACTTTTGTTAAAAACTATTTATTGTTTGTATTTTTGCATTAGTTTGACCGATTTAAATTTCAGACTTCAGACGTAAAAACAAACAATCTTACAGATCCAAATTTCAGACTTCATGACCACCTCTTATAAACCAGAAGTGAGATTAGACTTCAACAACTCTTAAAAAACAAAGACTATCTAACTTTGTTGATGATTTCTGTTAAGTATGAGAGACTAAAATAACAACGAATAGTAGACATAAGGACGAAAAAGCAATGAGTTGTAAACCGTAAGAGACGAAGAAGCAATGAATTACAAAACCATATGAATAAAAACCGTAATTTAAAAAATACAGGGGCGAAAAACCAATTTTCAACAAACCATAAGGGTGGAAAATGTAGTTTACTCTACCGAAAGGTGCATCTACAGATTCTCGAATGTAATAATTTCTACTAAACACGTGTTTTGAGAGTTCCTTAATATTTGTTTAAAAAGTTTTACGTAATGTAAATTTTAAGGTGAGATATACAAGCCAGTTTCTAACATTTTTTGGGCCTTTTATATATATAAAAAAATCTTAAATAAATGTTTTAATTATTAAAAAAACAAACTTTCATTGAGAACAACTTCTTCAAACATTTTCAGAAACAAAATCATCAATAATAACATCTAATTCATACAAAACAACTTCTTTGAGCATTTTTGAATGTAAAATCATCAGTAATAACATCTAAATCAATATTATCAATCATGTATTTTTCAATGCACAATATTGCCAATCCATTTAACATTTCTTGTGATATTGATGTCCTCAAGTACGTCTTCAATACTTCAATTTTGAAAAACTTCTTTCGACAGATGTTATGGTCACTGGTACTGTCAACATAATTCGACAAGCAACCGAAACATTAGGGTAACAATCTACAACTTTGACAAACTCAATAATTTCAACTGCCCTCAATGATTTATATGACAAAGTCATCTGCAACACCTTTAATTCAGAATAAAGATTATTTACATCCACATCCGTCATAATTTTATGATAAAAGGTATCATCAAAATGAACACAATATCTCATTATTCATTTTCATCCAATGACTGTACTTTATCAGAATCGAATAAGAATCCAAAAATACTTTCAAATTTCTATAATTGTTCAAATATATTATTCAATGAAGAAATTGTCATGTCCACAATGGTTAGAAAATAATTAATTCTAAAAGCCTCCTCTTTTGATGCTTGCATTTCTTCTTAACTATCATTTCACATGTTATTTTTTTAGCAGTATTCGTACTTGATGCAAACCCTTCATTCTTATACTTTTCAAAATACTTCACTACACCTTCAAATTGTTCTATGGTAGCATTAATGCACATAGATTTTAATTGCGACCTTTAACTAACCATGTTTATTGCAAATAAAACATCATACCAAATAATCATACCAAATAAAAACTCAAAATTTTCAATTGCACTTACCAAACTTTCCGCTTCACTTTTCATCCTGGCATCATTACATGATTTGTATAATTCAAGTAAAGCCGATCTTATTTGAGGAGCTTGAAATCTAATTGCCTTGACACCTTTTATTCTATTTTCCTAACGTGTGTTGCACAAAGATTTTACAGTTAAGTTTGACACATTATCAAGTAACACCTTCCACCTTTTGTAGAACTAGCAAATAACGTGTATATGCGTTAAACGATTCCAAAAAAATGAAATAACTTTAACACAAGATTGAGCCATGTCATTAAGAGTAAGATTAAGCCTATGGCAAACACATGACATATATAACGCTTTTGGATTAACTTCAAGTAATCGATTTTGTACCCCTTGGTGTTTTCCCTTCATGTTAGAACCATTATCACAACCTTGACCCCTCCCAACATCAACACCAAGATCGAGAGATTTAAGTACATATAATAATTCATTGAACAACCCTAAACCAGATGTATCATCAACCTCTAAAAAATATATAAAATACTCTTCTATTTTTATTTTATCACCGGTCATATTCCCGCATCATATGATTAAACTCATTTGCTCTTGATGGCTCACATCCTTTGTACAGTCAAGAATTACATAAAAATATTTAGTATCTCTAATAATTTCATGATAGAACTTTTAAGATTACGAGCCAAAAGAGAAATTAACTCATTCACATCAAGTTTTCCAATCATTTCAATTAATCCAAAAAAATTACCATTGCTATATTGATACAACTTCTCGTTTGATCCTCTAAAAGACAAAAAAAATACTTAGCAAGACATTTCACAACGACAATTATTCTTACCAAAATTTGCCACCAACATTCTTTCTCTTTTAATATCTCTTGTTGCAAGTCTTTATCGATTGTTAGGTTTGTGTTCAGTCTTACTCTTAGTTCATTCCAAGATAACATGTTATTCATATGTTCAATACTATTCTCATGTTCTTTAAGTCTCTCACCAAGATGCTTCCAATCTCTAAATCMTTCVTTAGCWATTGMATTTCTATAATTCTTAGACTTGAACAACTTACAACAAAAACAATACACTTTATCCTCATATTTTGAATAAACTAGCCATTTTCGATCACTAATTTCACCATTACTTAACTTTCTATCATAATAAGCATATGAAAAATGTTTAGACATGTTATCTAAAGGAAACACGATACCCAATTCTCTAATAGGTCCTTTTTCAACTAGGATGTCTCTTGATTTAGTATCAAGATTATCCCAATTTCTAGGATCACAAATATCAAAAAACGGAATTGATTGTTCAGCAACGGATAAGTTTACAATTTTATTGGTGACCTCATGTTCACTCACACCATCAATCTCTTCATTATCTTCACTCATATTTGGATGTTCAACATCTTATTCATCTAACTCTTGATTAGAAGAACCTACGGTCTTAACAAACTTATCCATGGCTCTTTTTTGTGATTGTTTCAATTATTCAACTAACTTCCTTTTTTTTTCTTTTCTCACTTCTAGACAAGTACTTATACTTTTTAAACAACATAATAAATATTTAACAATTACAACAATTCAACAAATTCAATGTAAAAATGAACAAAGGCACCTGAGTGGCTGAGTGGTTGAATTTGAGTTTGGATTATGGAACACCAAAGAATGAAGAAGTCAACTCCTTTTTTCAATAAATTGTAGTATGCTATTTATAAAAAGTTGAAGCACTATTAGTAAGCAAATAAGCCAATCATGTATTATGTTATTATGTATATAAATTACAGATTTATAGGGAATGGTCCTCAAATATTACCTACCAAGCAATTACAACGAGTGCTAGTCAATGAGAAGAGGTGGAAAGTCTTAGCAAAACGGATCAAAGATGCATTTTAATCAAAACAAGTGCTAGTCAGTGAGAAGAGGTGGAAAGTCTTAGCAAAATATCACTCTGAAAAAATCTTCTGCTTTTCAAAATCTTGTACAACAGAAATGTCCCAACCTTATGATTACAAAGGTAGTTTTTGATAATCAACTCAAACTCAAAGCAATATGTTTCAAGAAGTGAAACATGCAACAATACAAGAGCAACGTAGCTATGAGCCTGAGCATTACAACCACGGTTAGCCAGAATTGCCTTTTATACCACATGAGTGTAGTAGAGCATGAGTGTCAAAACATATACATTGATCTTAGGTGTACAAGAAAGACATTCTATCAACTGCAACAGCCCCAAAAGGCTAAAATTAACAACATGAATAGTACCTTGAAAAGCCTACTCCAAATACACAGATCAGCAACACCTCGAACATTAACTTAATTGGGTCCTTATTTTCTTGTAAATGCCATTTGTTGGTCAAGAGTCCCATTGATAGCAAGCATTAGCAAATAACAATTACATGAACAACAGCCTAATGTTACCACTTAGCAAATAACAAGCATTTGCTTCTGATTCAATTAAAAGAAGGCTAAGACCAACAAAATCTACTGTTTTGTAACAATTGTTGGTGAGTTTTTCCATGTATTTGGTGTTTGACAAGAAATGTTGCTTACAACTCTGACCTTACAACCCTACAGATGGCAAGGATTTTGCTTAAATGCGAATAAATGAACAAATTTTGATTATAACGCCTACACCATTTGCTTATGTTCAATTTGAAGTTTGATGTTGTATGGGCCTTGTTAGAAGTGCAGGTGACTAAACTGTGGACACTAAGTCCTCATATAGATATGGTGGAAGCACCGTGTGAATATGAACAGCAGATCAACAGCCTAATGTTAGGAACAGGAATAGTTTAGGAACATGAACAATAGGTCAGCAGCCTAATGTTAGCAAATAACAAGCATTAGCAATTACAGTTTAGGAAATAATCAAATAAATTGATACCTTTTTCCTGCTGCCCTAAACTCACTCAATGAATGGTGATAAACAATTGAAATGATTCTTGAAGCTTGAACTCGAAATCAAAACAGAACTGAGAAACAATGCATGCGTCGATGACAGGATAAAGTTAGAACCCAAAATCATAACAAATATAAGCTAGAACTGAAAAACATGAACTGAAAGCTTGAATTAACTTGAACGGAAACTTCGAATTATGAAATTAAGCTTGAGAAGTCGACACATCGGATTCTTCATCGTAAAATCGCCGATTTACCGTTGTGCCGTTGAGGTCTAAGGTCTTGAGACTTGAGGAATGAATCGTCCTTCGTCGCTTGCTGATTTACCGTTGGAATCGATTCAATCGAAGTCGTCAAGTCAAGAAGTCGGACGCTGAAATGATGAAATCGACAAATCGTTTGTAGACTTGAATCATCGCTTGCTAGTTGCTTTGCCGATTTCTCTATTTTTGAGTTGGGTCTCATAATTTTTTTTTGGGTTAAATTTGGGCCCTTAATACCGTATTATAATTAAATATTTTTCTAAAACTAATAATATAAACTAAAAAAAATTTGGACGTCTAAATTTTTTGGGCCTTTGGGCAGGTGTTCAGCCGGCCCTTCCCCAGGGACGGATGTGAAGATATACTAAATTTGTTTGACCTGTTGTTTATATGTATGGTAGAGCCAAAAGAATGTATGATAGCACAAAAGTGAAATTCATTCACATGTTTTTCTAAAGTCATTCCAAACATGATCTTTGTCCAAGAGCATTTTAGGGAAATTAACTAAAATAATTGATCATCTCACCATTGTTCACTTTATTGCCACCTTTCACATTCAATTTCCTGATTAAATGGAAATTACCTAAGTAGAGTTATGCAACTTGCATAATCCATTTTTGTATTAAAAAAATAGAAAAAATTGCGCATTATATAAGTTATGTAAGTTTTTACGCTGCCACATAGACGTCCATATGGACATTATACAAGTTATGTAAGTTTTTACGTTGCCACATAGACGTCCACATGGTTATTATGCAAGTTATGTAAGTTTTTACGTTGCCACATAGACGTCCATATAGGCAATTATGCAAGTAACACTTAAACATCTTGCATGATGCCTATTTTTTCTAATTATTTTATTAAAAAAGTGAATTCCATAAATTACATGATAACACCAACATAAACCTCTAGCTAAATAATGATTTGGCATAAACAATGATTATTTCAATCAATTTCCCAACTTAAAAACATTTGCATTGTTTGGGTACATATAAAGACATTATGAATGGATGACTCTAAATTTCACATTTTTTATAGAAAAAAAATATAAAATTGTTACATTAACATTTATAGATTTCAAGTATATTCTTGTTCAATTTTCAATTATACACACACATATATATATATATATATATATATATATATATTAATAATATATTTATATTTATTAACTAAAACATTAGACCCATATTTTTATATAAAACAAACATTCAATTAATTAAATAATAAAATTACATTATATATCAAATACAAAAAAAATACATTTAAAACATTAGCCATTATACATACGTATAAATTTTTTTGAAGTTAATTAACCATATAATATAGAGAACATGTAAAAAACTTTTAAAATATAAGATGAAAAATGTTATAACCAGGTTTTAGACACCTGGGTTGAGGTAATTTATACATATATGCATGTGGTGTGAAACATACATGAGGTGGTGCATATTTGTGATAAGATATTTTGATGGAAACATTATTATATTATTTAAAAGCTTATACCTTCATGGTTAAGAAATCATGAATTTTATAATGAAAAACTCACCACCTAAATTACTTTTATTGGTTAAAGCTTTCACCGCCAAAGAGTTTTATTTTAATAAAACCATCACCGCCTTTATTAGAAAAATATATAAAGAAGGAAAAAGATAAGATCATATCTTATCTTGATTTTTGGAGAAATGAACCTTTTTGAGAAAAAAAAAGTGTGTGGCAGTGAAAGAATTCTTGAGAAAGATTAATACGTAAAAGTGATTTGAAGATTCTATGCTAATTAAAGATCTATTGTGTGTTTATAATCTGCAGAACCTGTGATTATTAAGGTGAGTTTTTGATGATTAAAACTTTTATATATATTGTTATATAAACTACTAGGTCTTTATGTTGGTTTTGAAGAAAAGATGGTAAAACTATTTTGATGGTTTAAAGGTGTTATTGTTATATAATTGAGTATTAAAAACTGTTTTGGGAAAGATAAAGAAGGGATTGCTTCTTTAAAACAGTTTTGGAAATGATATCCTGTTTTGAGGAATTAAAAAGGGATATGATGTTTTTTTGGAAACCATTGAAAGAATATATTGTTCTTGAGTTTGAAAGGTTTTTGGTTGAAAACTATAGAGAATATTCTTTTGAGACGATTATGATTTTTGATCTGTCTTCATTTGGAATTAATCTATAGATTTTATGGATAAWACTATGAATGAGGATTCGATAAGATGGTTGTGACTGCGGTCCTTCATCCGAACTAGTTCATAGATTTTGAAGAAGAAATAAGGGGGGCATATCAAGGAGAGGTGTCTTTTGGAATAAGGGTGGCATATCAAGCAGAGGGGTCTTTTGGAATAAGGGTGACATATTAAGGAGAGGTGTACCTTTGGATATAAGGATGACAATTGTGTGTGAATGTTATAGCTCTTATTGTTATGTCTTTTAAGACTACAATAGATTTGAGTCCTTACTTCTTTGTGATTTGAGAACTCAAAGATATTGTTCTTATTAGAAATAATAGTATTGATGTTATTGAGAAGGGGAAAACTTGGCTTATGGCCATTGATATTGGTTAAAAGTGTTTTGGAACAGAATGATCATTTCTATGAGGAATCAGAGGGGCTCTGGTTGTTCCTTGTAAGGAACTAGAGGGGCTCTGGTTGGTCCTCATTATCGGACCAGAGGATTCTGGTTATTGATTTGGAGAATGAGCAAGTTTTTACTAAATGTACTAATTGGATCAGAGGCTCTGTATCTATTGATAAGAGCTTCTATGTAAAAATCATATTTTTAGAAGTTTTTAAGAAAATGATTTTATACTTATAATCTTTTTATGAAAAACAGACCAGAGAGGCTCTGGTTGGCTTACACATTGAACCAGAGAGGCTCTGGTTGATTATGTCTTTTGAATCAGAAGCTCTGGTTAGTACAACTAGAGACCCTGGTCGAGGAACCAGAAGCTCTGGAAGAGAGACCAGAGGGGCTCTGGTCCTAGTTATTGAAATATATTCCAAGTGTGGTTTGGAACCAGAGGCTCGATGGACCAAAACAGTATGATTTTAGTTTTGCTACATAAGATGAATTATTTGAAATAAATGTTTTGATGATCTTCACCCTGCATTACATAAAAAGGGAACATCACTAGACATTCATGTCTAACCCTCATTTCGTGTTTTCAAAAATATGTATACAGGTAAAGATAATAAGGGAAAGAGCATTATATGAATTACTTCGCTATGTGCTTAGCTGTTTTGGAAACATAGATGCTAGGATGCAAGAACATGTACTTTTGAAATTTTTGGGTTGCGTATTTTACATTATAGACTCTTGTATAAAGGACCTATGTGGGAGGAAACATGTATTCTATATATGAAATATGTGTTATATGCAATTTATGAATTTGGGGGTGTTACAAAAAAAAAAAATACATAAATCACAAAACTAAGGGATCAAATTTGTAATTGTGAGAAATAGTAAAAAAAATGGTGTAAAGGAATAATGTTATCCAAATTTAGTGAAAAATTGATATGTTCATCAATGAGATTCAAACATATAAAATAACGCTTAATGTAAAATTTGGTGACCTGTTAAGAGATGATTTTAGGATACTCATAAGTCTTATTTTAAGTAATATTTTCATATTAATTTTGTTCGTCGATCTCCAAAAAAAAAAAAAAAAAATACTTGAAACCAATGATAGATCTAGATTTTTTTACATTGGTGACATAAAACACTAAAAACTAAACTTTAGTGAATTTACACTTCATGTTTTTTGTATTTCACGCTAATGTTAACAACAAAAACTCAAATTTACACTTCAATTTGCTATGATAACTAACCTCTTTGTTTCTCAGTATCTACTGGTATCACAAAAACGAATCATTGTTCCAACACCGTGTGTTGACAACTAAAACTCAAATTTACGCTTCAATTTGCTATTATAACCTCTTTGTTTCTCGGTATCTACTAGTATCACAAAATGAGTCATCATACCACAAAATGAATCATCGTACCAGCACCACGTTGAAGTAATAAAACTTTTTGCACTACGAAGAACAAGTTCACACGAGTAACTTCCAGAGTCCCAGTGAGTCCACCTTGTTTGAAACTAACGGCTTGTCACATGGATTTCATCCAAGTCATTATTATGTCGGCTCAAACAGGGTACGCCAAAAGAATAACGACATACTACCACCAATGGTTGTTCTCAACTGTATTTTATATGAAACCCGTGTCTAGTTTTCTTATACACACAATCTAGGTGTTGTTTACTAAACGCTTAATTACCTGATAAGTGTTTGTCGGGTCACTTTACTTTATCGGATGAACATGACAATTATTGAGAATCTTACCTGATAAAAAGCAATGACAAGGACGGAGAGTTTTATCCAGTAACACTACTAAAAAATCTGGTTTTTCTGACGGCAAAATCCGTCGGAAAAACAACTTTCCGACAGATTTTGCCGTCGGAAAACCCCTGCCGCTAAATGCAATTTCTGACGGATTTGTATTTACCGACGAAAAAATCCACCAGAAATCCATCAAACAATTTTATAATATATTATCATTTTTCGGGTTAATTAGAAGGCATATAAAATGAGATTAGAGTTACCGACAGAATTTCCGTCGGTAAACTTATTCCACTTTCTTCCAAAACAATAACCAGTTTTTATTTCAAAAATAAAAATAACATTTTTCCGACGGAAATTCCGTCGGTAATTATATTTAAAAACTTTTTTCCTAATTTAAAATATGAAAATGCTTTTTATTTTTAATGAACGAAAAATATTTACCGACGGATTTTCCGTCGGAAATCCGTCGAACAATCTGACAGAATTTTTTTTAATAAAACTTATATCTAATTATTTACCGACGGATTTTCCGCCAGAAATCCGTCGAAAATTTAGCTGGTACAGGAAAAAAAAAACCAAATAACCTCCTAATCTAAAATCCTAAAATATAAAGATCCTGTAAATTACATACAAATATACAATACATAAATTTGTCATAAATACTAAATATAATTATCCGGACGAAATAATATACATATATAAATTCGATTGATGACGCTAGTTCATAAATACACTATATCAAATCTATTGCGGCGGGGTTAGTGTAAACCTCTTCATCATATCCATTATGTCTGCATGCTCTTTCTTCCGGATCTCATCTTCCCTGTTTCGGATCTCTTCTCGTAGAAGAAGTTCCTCAACGTCCTTCTGTAGGATCTCATCTCGAGTGCGCATTATTGAATTTGGGACTGTAAGTTGTTAATTAACTACAAATACAATAAAACCTTAAAATTTCCGATAAGAAGTATAAATGAAATAAATAAACATCAAAGGATAAAGAGGTACACACCTGACTATCTACATTAGACGATCCACTCGAGTTTGCTTGTGAGGATGTCCCGGTCAAGACCAAATTGGGATCTTCATTGTACTCAAACCCAAATACACGGCCTTTCTTGGATCCCTCAACCGCCTCATTCCACAAGTTAGTATCTACTAGGCGATAGGCCGAGGAATCCTCACCGTACTTTTCGGTGATATTGTTTGAATAGGTACCTTGTGGTTTAAAAATACTACCAGTCAATTTCGACAGCTTAACGACTGTAAATGGAATGTTTCCAACTAAAACAATCCTAACGTTTGCCCAACAAATGACAACCCAAACTATATATATATATATATATATATATATATAGAGAGAGAGAGAGAGAGAGACTTGAGATCATGTGAGACCAATGATTTTTCGTGAGACCCGTAAGACCAATTCTCAACCATT